GAGCACTTCAAGCATCTGCTGTATCATTCGCGAAACATGCGTTAGCAATACGCCAGTTGCGGCAATTCACTACGAGTGATCTGAATCGCCAAACGTTTCCCAGCTACTATGACTTGCAGAGGTAATAGTTATCAACGAGTGGTAGCCCACCACACTAACTAATGTAAAGATCTTTATGTTCCTACTCGTCAGATTGCCTCCACCACCTAATCCATTTTTCGGCGTAAACGCTATTTAAGATGTAGCGAAATTATTCCGGAAGTATATCTTGCGATCTCGTACTTTTGTGGTTTTCGTTCGAATCGTCCTTGGGAACAGATTACTTCAAGGTTCCGTAAATGTATGCTATCATGTTACCCGATTAATACGCTCACGTTCTCGCTGATTGATTTTCAGTCGGATATCTTGGACGGATTGTATCACGCGCATGAGTTGGAGTGTTTCGGAACCTGAGAAAACTACTTGATTTGCACTGTTTAGAGTGGATCGTATTTGTGTGAGAAAGCGCGGAAAAATATATATATTCTTATCATTATTATAAGTACCACTGTTATCTACTTTGGGTTTCTCTCAGAAGCAGTCTTGAATGGATACCAGTTAACTGTAGCGATTTGAGTCCATCGCTGTGAAGACAATGGCGGTGATGCTCACCATGTGAGGCTATGACGTTTCTTGCGGGAGAAGTTGGTGTTCGGTAGAAACAATCCTTGATCAAAGCAAAGTTGAAGCAGGTTATCTCCGTTGTTCATCTGATTGGCGGGGTCTGCACGTGATCCATCATGAAATCTTTCTGTTTCGTCAAGTTAACACAGTATAATCCGGACACCGAGAAAACCGCTAGCGTCTGATGCCTGACACATGGAGGGTGGAGCGTGAGGATGACGTCGGATCTGGAGAACGCAACGTGATGATTGAAGTAGGGTATTTTGTGCGTGCTTTGGAGACAATATGCATCCATGATGAAAGTTTTAAGGGATTCAAGCTAATGCAGTGCGGTGATTCAAACCTCCACGATGATGCCAGGGCTACACGTAACATTTTCTGGACAACGGTCACAGGCTAGTAGTATTGACCGCTCGAAGGCCATACAGTTCAAAAAAGAAGTCGTCTGACTCGAAGAAAGAGTACGGCAATTGCTTGATGCTCGTTTAATAAATGCATATTATTTAATCCTATATCGTTCTTCCAATAAACAGCCGCCACTACTGTATCCTCCTTCCTGAATCTCGGTGACGGGAGATTCCGTTACTACCAGTGCACCTCCGTGTTTCAACTGTGGTTTTGATCTATGATTCGTGATTTGATATCCGTGTCTACTCTTGTGGCCCGATTTGATAGGGTTTACGGATAATAGATGCATCGACGCACAGATAGGGTGACAAAACCTTACAGAAGAACAGTATTGAAGTCCATGAGTGGTTCACTCCCAGATCTACAGAGAAGAATGGACTGTCTATCCTCACCTCTGTCTATAACCCAAATCACACAAACCATGCAAGTTCAACTGCTGCGCCAAAGCTATGCCCTTGGACATTGTAACAGAAGCCATTTATCCATTATTTATAAAAAGTCACGATTTTGGCGAAGGAATACGGGCGCGATCCAAAGCGGAATAAATCAGTTGGATTCGGTACAAATGCGGTTCTCCGTTGACATGCAATTAAATTAAACACCCGTGCAACATACTTCAACAGTGCAGCAACACGGGTTGCATAACCCATTCAAACAAGGGAGGGTTTGGGCCTACACATGATATCCACGGGTTTGGATCGTTCAAGCGAGAGACCAGCTCGCGTAATCAGCTGACAAGGAACGCTCACACAATGAGAAATGCCCATCGCTGTTGGTCCAAATAGAAGTGCAAGAAACACTGAGAGACAGAACGTGGCTGATTCGGACGCTCGATTGCCCCGAGCCATTATCAGTCCTGCGCACCCTGAACTTAATGCGTCATAGGCGTAAACAAGATGAGTGATTAACCGAGAGCAATGTCTCGGTCATGCGTATAATCGAGATGCAAGGGGTGGAATGGTGAACGGACGGACATGTTAAAGGGTTGGTGATAACGCGGGGATACATATAATGTCAACTATGATCAGCCGGGGCAACGTACGGACGGAGGTGCTTGAGTGACAGCGCGTGAACAACATTAAAATAGGTCAATCAGTGGGTGCGTAGCAAGTTATGTGATTCAGAAAAACGGGCTGGGGAAAGCAGTTTAATGTGGACATACTAAGATCGAATATGTTTAAGATTACGAAGTTAAAATGAAAAGAAACAATCCGAACTCCAACAGGGATCTTCACATGAACTTCCTGCGCTTGCCACAAGTATTCTTATTCTTACCAGAGATCAAATTATTGCCTTTTGTTACGCATAATTTTTTTACCACAGCTGCAGGTTAACTGTTTTCATTTCCTT